ATGGCTGCAGAGCAGTCGTTTTTACTTTCAGAACACCACCAGCACGTGAATTTGCTCACTGGATGGAAGCTCATGTTGTTCTTCGTGTAAAACACGTTGTTAAGGTCTTTGAGCCCAGAATCGGTTCTCCGGCCGTCAGCGCATGGATGTAGTCATCAGATTCTCCTTCCACCAGCTTCAGAGCAGCCCGATGTTCGTCTGGGAGCCACTTAAAACTTTCCTCCTTCATTTCCTCCGCAGAAGGGCGGTAAACAGGGACGACCTCTTTGCCGCTCTCATCTTCGACAGGCTGCTTCGCCAGGAAGAGCTGCAGGTCCTTGGCGTCGCCCGTGATAGTCGCTGCATTCTTCGCCTTGATCGCATTCTTCAAGTCTTCCACCAGCTGGCTCGCGTCGATGTCCACAGGGAAAGCGCTTCCAGCCACACCAACGATCGCACAAACAAGCTTCACCATCTTTCCTCGAGACGGCAGGTTCTGGAATGGAGGGAGAATTTTTGGCGTACTTAAGCGGGAAAGAAGGGTGTGACATAGATTTTCAACCAATGATGGGACGCCACGTCGCGCTGGTCCGAACTAATCCTTGAGGTAAAAATCTGCCAGCGTATTGCTTTTATCAATAGTATTGTCAATTCCAGTGAAAATTGGATACCGAGGGTGATTGACGGATAGTCTGAAAAATCAACACTTAGACATGATTGGTCAAAACTCACCAGCTGCAACTTAGGTTGAACCACAAGCTGATATTGATGCGAAGTAGCGTCCGCTGGGGATGATGGTATCTGCTGCTCAGGTTGACCAACAGGAGATGCAGCTCGGGGTGATGTTCGACGTCGTGTGGAACGTGGAGTCCGCGGCTGTCTAGCTGTGCCAGGGGCTGGAGAAGGTCGAGCTTGAGCTGATTCACCAGGTGATCTTGCTGCTCCAAGAAGTGACGCTCGTTAGGCTGCAGATGACACTGGACCCGGGGTTGAGTATGCCCTAGTCGTGGTCGCTGGCAGTGCTTCTCGGTCTGGAGGTGTACGCCGTCGTATTGGACCTGGGTGGGGCCGTGTAGTCTCCGTTGGCGTCCGAGTACGCTCAGGATATGGAGATTCACGGGTCGAATGTGGTGATACACGTGTTCGACCACCACAGCGTGCACCATCAGCTGATGCAGCACCCGCTGGTGGGGGTCCTCTTGCGCTACCGGACGAGACGTTAGATCGGAGATTCATTACCGTTTCCCGTAGCAGAGTCTGCTCTGAGCTTGCAGTGTGTAAAAACCTGTCGCATGTAATGTTTCCGTATGATGTATGAAAGGAGGAACGATTTCATAGGCCATTCAGCGCGGTGATTAATAAATCAGACAGTCAAGTTTTGAGTAGAAAGCACAATATTGTATTGATTCACTACATCTCGTTTTCGCGGGGGTGGGACCATATAGGGATCTGCAAATAAATTCAGACTCTTAGCTTACAAACTTCTAGGTCTTTTAGAATCAGGACAATCGCATCCGGAAAGTTTATCAAAAGGTCCGAGGGCGCGGAAAACGGGGTGCAGTACTGTACATGTATAGTTTGAATGTTGTCCGTCGCAGCGGTCCCGAAACGCCCTAAGATCCAAAAAAGACGTGGCTCGCTATAAGGTGGGCGTCGTCAAAATCAACGTCTTTTAGCTCTCACCGGTTTGAGCGGTTCTAAAATTACCCTAAGATCGAAAAGACGTTGCTTTCGCTCTCAGGTGGTCGAGAGGTTGCGTCGTCAAAATAGCAGCTGCCTCGAAAGAACGTTCCAGGACTGGTCTCGCAGGTAAATTACGGAAGAGAGTCGTTATTGTGCCGGAACGAAAACGCAAAAAATTAATTGTCAAGGAAATTATGAGTCCCTCGTACGGTTAAATTTGTATACCCGTATACGGAGCTTTTGTGCCACTCATTTAGGGGCACTCCATTTCGAGAAGAGCAGCGCCAGCAATGGATCGGCGCCAGCCTGCACGCGCGTCGAAGAAGCGGCCCTCAGAGGAAGCCTACAGCGGGGGCAGTGAGAATGACGGCTCGGACTTGAGCTGGGTGGACGACTCCGCCGTATCCAGTAGTTCCAGTGCAGCGACGTGGAGTGTCGAGGATTCAAGCGTGACTGATACGCCTGGCGAGAGAACAAGTGGAGGTAGTAGCGGAAGAGGATCTCCAGAAGTCTGTGCAGACTTAGTTGAAACGCAGTTTCAGTCCCGGGAAGCCTTTCACTCGTATCTGGACGATTATCAGAAGCAGACTTACCAGGTAAGGGCATTGATGGCACTATGTATTACATTATGAGAGTATTCAACGGGTTTGACCAATTTACTGTAGGTTTTTAGAGTGCGATCAACTAAAAGCGTGGCAGAACGGAACAGGCTAATCCAGAAGGCCCAGAAGCCGTCTTCAACGCTCATCCCAGAGGCATGGTGTACGTACGCAAAGACGCTCATTTGCACGCATGGCGGCAAGTACAGATACCGTGGTAAAGGGAAGAGGCCACGTCAGGAAGTACGCCCGATCGAGTGCAAGGCCCAGGTGCGAGGCGTTGACTGTCGGTCACTGCCGGTCACAGTCGGTTGTAGTCTGGCACTGTCGGTCACAGTCGGTTACTGATCGGTACTTTATGTAACAATACTATTCAACAGCTAACGTTGCTCATGTGTGTATACAGATAAACGCTTGCGTTCAAGTGGTGAACACATCCCCTCTTCATTTTGCAGTTTGCGTCACTAAGACTGCATTATCTCACAACCACGGATTGGGGTTGCGTACGTACCACCATTATCCCGCTAATCGACTGGCTATAGAAGAAGATGTTTTGGCGACGGTCGACTCCCTCAGAAAGTCAGGCACAAAGACGCAAAACATTCTGAAATTTATCGTGGAGAACACCAGCAGCGATCCAACTCCTCAAGATGTGCGAAACCTAATCCGGAAGCTAAAGAAACAAGACCAGGGCGTGTCATCTCGTTCTCAGCGCATCAAGAAATGGATGGTGGACTTTTGTGCTGTTCAAGGGAACGTAGGGCATATTTTTGTGGACCCATCAGGCGGAAAGGTTCGTTTTGCGTCTCAAGTATTGTGAATCGGTCAGTTTGATTCTAAATGTGTGTGTTTTGGTTTTGTAGAAAATCGCTACGCTGTATTACACAACAACGCAGCACATGATTGACATTTTTAGCAGATTCCCTGAAGTTTTAATGATCGACGCAACGCATGGTACCAACACCTCAAAGTACAAGATTTTTTCGTTCATGGCTCATGATATTTTCGGGAAAGGTCAGTACGTACAGCACGCTATCCTACAAAATGAACGAAGTGAAACGCTGTTCTCGGCGTGTGAAGAATTTAAGAAGCAGAATCCTTCCTGGACTACGCTGCAGTGTGTGATCGTGGACAAAGACTTTACCGAAATTGGAGTTTTGCAGACTGCTTTTCCAGACGTTCGTATACTTTCTCTGTCAGTTTCACGTCGTGAAATATTTGCGGGAGGAGATTGCATGCGCCCGACTATGGGCTTCTCCGCGTGGCAAAAAAACAGCTTTCGGGCAAGTTGTCGATTCTTGTTGGTGGACACCAAAAACCTACTTGTTATTTATTTATAAT